TACACTACTACTTTACAAAAGACATGTTCCTTTTTTAGAGAGGGTAACTTTTGGGGGACAAAAGTCATTTATAAAATAAGACCACTGTTGTAAAATGTTAAGAAAAGATTGTCTTGAGGAATGAAACATTCTATAATTGTTGCTGGGGAATGGAAGTGGAGGGGAGGGGATTATTCATGGGCTAGAGGTAGACAAATGTTTACATGGGTGACAGGGTAGGCAACATACAACAAGAGGGAAGTTGTCAAAGGCAAGGTGAAGATAGCGGGAGACACAGGAAGGAGTGTAAGAGTTAAAGGAAATAGAGAGAAATACTGTTAACTGTTGGTACGTGGTGGTGGTGGCTGTGTGCCGTGGAGTCGGTTCCAACTCATAGTGACCCTGTACAGGGTTTCCGAGGCTGTAAATCTTTATGGGAACAGAATGCCTAATCTTTCTCCTGCGAACAGCTGGTAGTTTTGAACTGCTAACCTTTGTGTTTGCAGTCCGATTCATAACCACTACGCTACCAGAGCTCCTTGGAACTGCAATCATTGTAACGAAGTAAAGTATATGGTTTGCTGGATGTAACACTGGTGATCTGTTCTGTAAACCTTTACTCAATTCACAAAAAAAAAAAAAAAAAAAAAAAAAGTGATTTCTAAGCCCAATTTCATTTAACTAACATTGAGTTCCTAATAAGTGAAGGCCACTGAAACATTCACTGTAATTTCATTTACTTTGGGCTCATTCAAAGTTATGCTTTATAATTTTTGAGCATTCCACTGATATAAAATAAAATACTGATTTATAGTTCATTATTAGTGTAATGAAGAACCATGGTGGTACAGTGGTTAAAGTACTCACCTGCTAATTTTGGCATTTGGCAGGAAACAGATGTTTCAGTCGGCTTCTGTACAGAATTCTGTACAGCCTGGGAAATCCCATAGGGCAGTTCTGCTTTGTCCTGCAGGGTTGCTATGAGTCAGAATCGAGCAGATGGCAGGGGATTTTAGTTTTTGGATCAGTGCTGTATTGAAATCTATACAATTAAAAGCACTCTTAAACTTTCAATTTCTTCCCTGATTATATTGGTTTTAGATTAACTGAGTTTTTTTTTTTTTTCTCTTTTCACTTTGCTTCTCAGTCTGTAGTTCGTTTTATAATTGTTAATATCTCAAATAGATAGTGGTGTATGAACTAGTAAATAAGCATTTCTCAGGTCTAATCATGATATGGCGTTTTAGAGTAAGTGCTGGACTCCTAACTGTGAGGTTGGTGTGGTGGTTTGGAAGTCCTATACAGGTTGCTATGAGTCAGAAATGACTCGATAGCGCTTAGCAACAATAACAATTGATTTAAACATCCTAAGGAGCTTCTAATCCTGGCGTTATGGATTGATTTGTGTTCTCCCAAAATTGTTGTTGTTGAGTGACATTGAGTTGGTTCCAACTCATAGTGATCCTGTAGAGGGTTTCTGAAGAGCAGCTGGTGTTTGAACCACCACCCTTGTGATTCAAACCGACCTTGCAGTCCTGTGCTTGCTTATCCGACAGTGCCATAAGTGCTATTAAGCATGACCCCTGTACCTATGGTTGTTATCCCATTTAGAAATGGGTTCTCTTTGTTATTTGAATAAGATAATGTTTGTGTAAGGTATGTCTTAAATCAGTCTCTTTGGAGATATTAAAGAGGAGATCAAACAAACATGCAAACACACAGGTAGGGGAAGAAGTAAGTAACATGATCTCCAAGGAACCTAGAAATATGAATGGGTATCATAAAGCTCTTAGAAAAGTTCCATTATCTTTTAATTCCATTTTTCCATGAACTTTTTGAAACTTTCTCCTAGAAGGTGAAAAGAGACAAGGATCTTCCTTCACAACCAACACAGAAAGAAAGCCATACCTTAGAACCATTGTCATGAATTCTGATTTCTAGTCTCATGCACTGTTAGAAAATCAATTTCTCTTTCTTAAAACCACCTATTTATTTTATTTATGTTATAGCAGCACTAGGTAACTAAGACAGAATTTGGTACCAGGAGTTGAATGATAGGCTCATAAATATGAGAGAGATTCAAAATGGAAAAATTCCACTATCTTTTAATTCTATTTCCCCACTAACATTTAGAAGTCCCTTTGTACCTAAAATGAGGAAGTGGTTTGGGAACTGGATAATGGATGTTGTTGATGTTGTCTTTGGGTGTTGTTCAGTCCATTCTGATTCATAGTGACCTTTTTTGCACAATAGAATGAAACACTGTCTGGTCCTGCACCATCCTCACAATATTGTCAATCTTTAACCCATTGCTGCTGCCACTGTGATCCCATCTTGTTGGGATCTTCATCTTCTTGGCTGACCCTCCACTTTACCAAGCATGATGTACTTTTCCAGAGACTGACATGCTCCTAATGACATGTCCAAAGTGTAAGAGATGAACTCTCATAATCCTGGCTTCTAAGGGCTTTCTGGCTGTACTTCCAACATGGATTAGCTTGTTCTTCTAACAGACCATGGTACTTTTAATATTCTTCTCTAACACCATAACTGAAATTCATCACTTTCACAGTCTTTCTTATTCACAGTCCAACTTTCACATCCATATGAGATTATTGAAAATATCATGGCTTGTGTCAGGGACACCTTAGTTCTCAAACTAACATCTTTGCTCTTGAACACTTTAAAGAGGTTTTGTGCAGCAGATTTGCCTAAACTAATATGTCTGCTTCCATGAGTATTAATAGTAGATTTGAGCAAAATAAAGTCTTGACAATTTCAATCTTTTCTCCATTTATCATTAATGATGTTATTTTGTGGTCCAGTGGTGAGTATTTTTATTTTCTTTACATAGAGGTTAAACCCATACTGAAGGTTGTGGTCGTTCATCTTTATCAGTAAATTTTTTAAGTTGTCTTTGCTTTCAGCAAGCAAGATTGCATCATCTGCATATCACAAGCTATTAATGAGTCTTCCTTCAGCCCTGATGCCATGTTCTTCTTCGTATAATCCAGTTTCTCAGATTATTTGTTCAACACAGATATTGAATAAGTATGATGAAAGAAAACACCCCTGGTGCACATCTTTCCTAATTTTAAACCATTAAATGTCACCTTGTTCTGTTCAAACAACTGCTTCTTGGTCAATGTACAGGTTCCTCATGATCACAATTAAATGTTCCAGAATACTCATTCTCTGCAATGTTGTCCATAGCTTGTCATGATCCACTCAGTTGAAAGCCTTTGCATACTCAATAAAGCACAGGTAAACATCTTTCTGGTATTCTCTGCTTTCAGCCAAGATCCATCGGACATCAGCAATGGTATTCCTCATTCCACATGCTCGTCTGAATCTGGCCTTAACCTCTAGCAGTTCCCTGTCAATGTACTGTTACAGCTGTTTTTGGAACTATCTTTAGTGAAATGGTACTTGTATGTGATATTAATGACAATGTTCGATGATTTTAGCATTCCATTGGATTGCCTATCTTTGGAATGGGCACAAAAATGGATCTCTTCTAGTCAGTTGACCTGATAGCTGTCTTCCAAATTTCTTGGCATAGATGAGTGAGTGCCTCCACTCAATAAAGTACAAGTCAGCATCTTTCTGGTATTCTTTGCTTTCAGCCACAATCCACCTAACATCAATAATGATATCCCTAGTTCCATGACCTCTTATGAATCGAGCATGAATTTCTGGCAATTCCCTGTTGATGTACTGTTGCCACCATGTTGGTATTATCTTTGGATAAATTTTACTTGCAGGTGCTATTAATAAGATTATTCAATGATTTCCATATTCCATTGGGTTACCTCTCTTTTGAATGGGCACAAATACAGATAGATCTCAACCAATCAGTTGTCCAGGTAGCTGTCTTCCAAATTTCTTGCCGTAAGTGGGTGAGAGCTTCCAGTGCTACATCAGTTTGTTGAAATAGTCAATATGTATTCTATCATATCATGGAACCTTGCTCTTTGCCAGTGCTTTCAGTGCACCTTGGACTTCTTTCTTCAGTACCATTAGCTCTTGATCAAATGCTACCTCTTGAAGTGATTGAACAGCAACCATTGATTTTTTTGGTAGGGTGACTGTGTATTGCTTCCATCTTCTTTTGATGCTTTCTGCATCATTCAATATTTTGTTCATAGAATCCTTTAAAATTGCAATTTGAAGCTTGAATTTTTTTCTTGAGTTCTTTCAACTTGAGAAATGCTGAGGGCAGTCTTCCCTTTTGGTTTTCTAACTTCAGGCCTTGGCACATTTCATTTTAATATTTGACTTTGTCTTCTCGAGCAGCCCTTTGAAATGGTCTTTTCAGCTTTTTCACTTCCTCATCTATTCCATTTGCTTTAGCATCTCTATGCTCGAGAGCAAGTGTCAGAATAACTTCTGACATTCATTTTTGTCTTTTCCTTCTGTGTTGTCTGCTAAATGACCTTTTACTTTCTTCCTGTATGAGGCTCTGGGTGTCATCTCACAACTCTGGTCTTTCATCATTAATGTCTATGCATAAAACCAATTCTTGAGATGATTTCTGAATTCAGGTGGGATGTGTTCAAGATCCAATTTTGGTTCTTGTGGACTTGTTTTCTATTTTTAAGTTTTAATTTTTAGCTTCAGTCTGAACTTGCATGTGAGCAATTGGTGGTCTGTTCCCCTGGCTTTTCTTTTTGGCTGATGATATAAATCTTTTCTGCCATCTCTTCTCACAGGTATTTTCAATTTGATGTTTGTGCATTTCTTCTGGAGCTCCATGTACATGGTGGTGGTGGTGATGTGCTCCTTGTGCATAGTCTTTTATTTGCAAGGAGTTCTGGTGTGACACTGTGGGTTAATGCTCTGGGCTGCAAGGTTAGTTTGAACCGCAGGTCGGTGATTCAAGCTCACCAGCTGCTTCTTGGAAACCCTATACTAGACAAGTTCTTTGCTACTGCATGCATAAAAAGCATAGCACTTCCTCCATTGCTTAATCACATATTCAACATTTTCTTTTAAAGCACATTTAATGTCCATATGTCTAGAAACATTCTACTGATGGTGCCATATGGAGTTTTCTAAGATTGCAGAAACCTTTCCTACGGCTCTCCTCAATTACTTTTGAGTCCTCACCAGAATTACCTTTCATGTCCATAATTCCACCAAGAATCTCTTCAAGGTAATCATGACCTTTTTATTAAGCATCTTAAAACTTTTCTAGCATCTACTCATTACCCCCATCACTTGTCTGTCAGTTTGTTGTCCTGTAGTAGCTTGCATGTTGTTGTAATATGGAAAGATATGTCACCGATATTTTAAATACCAGAAAGGTACATCCATGGTGGACAAGTTTCAGTTGAGCTTCTGGACTAAGACCCACTAGGAATAAGGAGAGGTGAACTACATTTGAATGTTCAGCCACTTAAAAGCTTATGAATAACAGTGGAAAATTATCAGATAGTAGCAGAATATTGAATACTGAAACATGATGAAGAAGACCAGAATATTGTCAGATACAGTTCTGGAAGATAAGCCCCTCAGGTTGGAAGGCACTCAAAACGCAACTGGAAAAAGCTGTCTCCTAAAGGTAGAGTTGACCACAATGACATGAATGGAGTTAAGCATTTGGAACCTTCATTTGCTGATGGAGCACAATGCAAAATGAGGAGAAACAGCTGTAAACATCCATTAATAATCAGAATATGGAATGTACAAAGGATGAATCTAGAAAATTGGAAGTTGTCAAAAATGAAATGGACATCCTAGACATTGGTAAACTGGAATGGAATTGGCCATTTTGAATCAGATCATCATAAGGTTTACTATGCCAGAAACAACAAATTCAAGATGAATGGCATTGCATTCAACACCTAAAAGAATATTTCAAGATTTATCTGGAACTACAGTGCTGTCTATGATAAGATGATATCCACATGCCTACTAGTTAATACCAATCACTTTTTTTGCACCAACCACTAAAGTCAGTGATGATGAAATTTAAGAATTCTAATACCTTCTTCACTCTGATATTGATCAAACATGCAATCAAGATGTATTGATAATTACTGGTGATTGGTTATAAACAAATAGTAATGATCAGTAGTTGGAAAAAATGGCCTTGGTAATGAAACAATGCTGGAGATCACATGATAGAATTTTGCAAGATCAATGTTGTCTTAATTGCAAATTGTTGTTGTTGTTGTTGTTAAGTGCCATTGAGTTGGTTCCAACTCATAGGGTCCCTGTATAGGGAGGGGCCATTGCTTCCTAGGTTTAAAGATTCAGTTCTCCAACAACTCAGTATGGGACTGACATTTTGGTAGACCATGAATATTGGACTATTGGCCAAAGCTGAGAGCTTAGGGCTGCCATACTCAAATGACAGAGGCTTGCAGGGGTCAAGAGCTTGGAGTTGCTACTCAAATGGACTAGGAAAGTAGGAGAATAGGGTTGCCCAAAGCTGAGGGAGCAGAATTACCATCCCAGTAGGTCTGGAAGTGCTTGGTTCCTGCTATCTTTTGTTTCTCTTCCAATTTTTCCTTTTTATAATGGAGATGTCTATCTTGTGTCTCTTCTACCGTTTTAATTTGGAAGCAGATAACTTTTATTCTAGATTTCAAAGGTTCACAAATGAAGAGAAATTTGGCCCCAACACAGAATATGCCTAGAATCTCCCCTATACTTGATTTAGATGATTCATAAAATGAGATTTTGGACTCGGAGTTGAGTTAAAACTTTGGGTATGTAATGGGGTGAATGTGTTTTATATACAGTAACATGAATGTGGAGGGGACCAAAGGGTAGAATATTATGGATTGAACTGTGTGTCTCAAAAATAGTGTTGTAAATACTAACCCTTATGCCTGTGGTATTAATTCCTCTTGATAATGGATTTTCTTTGTTTTGTTCATGAGTCAGTATTTGTATCAGATGTTACTTAAGATATATGACTAAAGAAATCAAGGAGTACCACCTGGTATAGTCAGTTGTTTACCAAAGGTTGGAGGGTTGACTCTATCCAGAGCTGCCTTTGAAAAAAAGTCCTGGCAATCTACTTTAGAAAAATTAGCTATTGAAAGCCCTATGAATTGCAGTTCTGCTCTGGCATATAGGAGTGCACCATGAGTCCAAGTGATTGCAACTGGTTTGAATTTTTTTGCAGGTTGGCTTTGTGCGGCAGCTCTGTTTCATCGCTTAGACAGGCTACAACTCTGATTTTGCCTCCACTTCTCACTATCACTGAACCTATGATTAGCCAGTAGGTGAAAGCTAGGGTCTTCTCAGGACCTCACAATTGCTGCTACACTTGAGCCCATTGCTGCTGTCACTGTGCCAGTCCATCTCATTGTTAGTCTTCCCCTTTTCACTGACCCTCCACTTTTCCCACCATGATCCCCTTCTCCAGGGACTGGTTCCTCCTGATAATATGTCCAAAATATGAGAGACTAAGTTGCCACCCTGTCTTCTAAGGAGCATTCTGGCTGTACTTCTTCCAACTCACATTTGTTTGTTCTTTTGGTAGTACATGAGGATTTTAATATTCTCTTCTAACACCATAACTCAGATGCATTAATTCTTTTATGATTTTCCATATTCATTGTCCAATTTTCACATGCATATGAGGTTATTGAAAATACCATGGCTTAGGTCAGGTCCACCTTAGTCCTCAAACTGACTCCTTTGCCCTTGAACACTTTAAAGACTTGTAGAGCAGATTTGCCTAATACAGTACATCATTTGGTTTTTTGACTTGCTGCTTCCATGACTGTTGATGATTGATCTGAGGAAAATGAATTCTTGGACAATTCCAATCTTTTCTCCATTTATCTTGATTCTATTTATTGATCCAGTTGTGAGGATTTTTGTTTTCTTTACATTGAGGTGCAACCCATACCAAAGGCTGGAGAGCAAGTTGCAGACTCTCTTCTGACATCCGTTTTAGTCTTTTTCTTCTTAATGACTGTTTGCTTTCTTCCTGAGTGATGCATGCCATCCTACAACTCCTCTGGTCTTCTTTCACTAGTGTCTAACTCATCAAATCTGTTTTTGTGATGATCTCTACATTAGAGTGGGATATGTTCATGGTCATATTATTTTAGCTCTTTTGGACTTGTTTTAATTTGATTCAGCTTCAGCCTGAACTTTCATGTTGATGGTCTATTTCAGTGTGCCCTTGGCCTTGTTTTGGCTGGTGATACAGAGCTTTTCCACCCTCTCTTTCCACAGATGTTGTCAATTTGATTTCTGTGTATTCCAGCTGGTGAGGCTCATGTGTATAAGTCATCTTTTATATTGTTTAGAAAAGGTATTTTTAATGAAGAATTCCCTGATCTTTCAAATTTCTCTGCAGCAGTCTCCAGCATCATTTCTAGGAGGCAATCTGTTTAAAAACTAAAACAAACAAAAAACCCTAAAAAAAAAACTTGACTACTCAACAGCTGTTCTTCATGTAATTTGACCGAATTACCTGCTTTCTGAATTTGTTTAATGTATTTATATGATTAAAATGAGATTAATCTAGTATCTGTTTAGAGTATATGGAAATAATGTATTTCCAATTACACCCTTTAGTTTGAACTTTTTAAAAAAATGAATTCATTCGATCATGGATTTAAAATAAAAACATAGAGCTATGATATAGTTTTATTTCTGAAAGTGCCATCAACTGAGTTCCGACTCATAGTGACCCTGTATAGGTTTTCCAAGGAACTGCTGGTGGATTTGAACTGCTGACATTGCATTTAGTAGTCCAATGCTTATCCTGCAGCATCATACTAGGACTCCATAATAAGTTTTAAATAAGTTTCCCAATAAGTTTCCCTACTCTATCAGATCTATTTGAACACCTTACAAAATATATTGATGATAATTTTTATGTTATGATAGAAAATAACTAAAGAGGACAAATGAATGTAAAATGACAACTCCTTTTTTTCTTTTTCTTGGCAGTTTATTAACAAATTCGAATAGACTTACAACAACCAGAAATGCTGTATGGACCCTATCTAATTTATGTAGAGACAAAAATCCTCCTCCAAACTTTAGTAAGGTATGAGTAAAATATATAAATCAATAAATCTGTGTCCATATGTTTTTTTTTTTTTTTT